CTGCCTTCTGCACACCCCCCACTGGGGATGTGCCCGCAACCAAGGTACATGCCCTTTACCAGAATCGAACCTGGGACCTTTCAGTCCGCAGGCCGATGCTCTATCCACTGAGCCAAACCGGTTAGGGCAAAAATAGATTATCTTTTTAAAAAAATTATATGAATATGCTCTGGCCAGGTTTCTCAGTGGTTAGAGCATTGGCCCGTGGACTGAAAGGTTGAAGGTTTGATCCCTGCCTCTGGTTGTGGTGCGGAAGCAACCAATTGATGTGTCTCTCTCACATCCTTGTTTCTCTCTCCCCCCCTCACCCTTCCACTCTGTCTGAAAATCAATGGAAAAAATATCCTCTCAGGATTTACCATAAAAATACATATATATGAATATGTTAGGCTGAGATCATAAACCATATTGCTTAAGTACATTGATATCCATAGAATGCCATAAAAATCTTTAGAATTATTTTAGCAGTCCTGTAAACTAAATTATAAAATATTAAATGTCATAAGTCTTTTAATGTAATTATATAGTGTGTTAAATATATCTTCCTTAATTTATTTTACATCACTGATCTTCCATCAGGAGAACATGAAAGTCTTTGTTATATATTGGGTGATTTTCAGAAATGATGAAGCACTGTTTTCCTTGCATTTTTCATACGAGCATAGTGATCTCTAGCAATTGCCTATTGTTAGTAATTTGGGCATGTTGTAACATCAGTGCCTGGTTAGGTGGTGGAGATAACTTTTATCCCGAGGTATGAAATGATGTAAATGTACTTTGTTCAAAGTGCCAGGGTTCTTTGTTTTGTTTTTGTATAATGTTGTTAAACATAACGTTGTATTACCACATTTAGCACTATTTATTTTTTCAGTATAGGTGTACTCAAAACTGTGAAAAGTCTAAATTTATAGTACTATGTATGTATTTTTGTGTGACCTACAAAGAATCTGCTGCCTGAGCCATTTGGCTCAGTGGATAGAACAGCAGCCTGTGGACTGAAGGGTCCTGGGTTTGGTCAAGGGCACATGCCCAGGTTGTGGGCTCAATCCTCAGTAGGGGGCGTGCAGGAGGCAAGCCGATCAATGATTCTCTCTCATCATTGATGTTTCTATCTCTCCCTTCCTCTCTGAAATCAATAAAAAAAATTAAAAAAAAAGAAAAGAAGAATGTTTACCTGCTTTAGAAATGGATTCTTTTGGGATCTGACACCTAAAATTTCAGGATTAATTTGATTTTGTAGATTTTTATCGTATTTTGTTTATTTGAAATAGAGATAAAGAAAATTGATTTCTTTTTCACTTAAGCACAATCTTGTGATGACAACATAGGTGTACATTTTATATATATATTTATAATTTTCTTTTTTTTAAACTTTGTTTTTATTGATTTTTAGAGAGAGAGGAAGGGAGAGGGATAGGAAGAAACATTGATGAGAGAGAGAAACATCATTGACTGGCTGCCTCCTACACATCCCTTACTGGGGATGGAGCCTGCAACCCGTGCCCTGACCACCCAGGAACCTCTTGATTCCTGGGTCGACTCTCAACCCCTGAGCCACACAGGCCAGGCTGTTTTTTCAGTATTTTGAGGTCCCTGATCGAAAGGCCATTTTGCAGTATTTTCCCCCCTGACTTTTGCTTTCTGGTGTCAGACATGTTTTTGTTGTTGTTGTTAATATATTTGTATTGATTGCAGAGAGGAAGGGAGAGGGAGAGAGATAGAAACATCAGTGATGAGAGAGAATCATTGATCGGCTGCCTCTTTCACGCCCCCTACTGGGGATCGAGCCTGCAACCTGGGCATGTGCCCTTGACTGGAATCAAACGCGGGACCCTTCAGTCCACAGGCCAGTGGTCTATCCACTGAGCCAAACCAGCTAGCGTTCAGACATGTTTTCATTTGAAACCTAGTCTTTTATTTTTTATTATTATTTTTAATAAATTTACTGGAATATTATATTCCCTATGTACTTTACAGGGTTACAAAACATCTTAATTTCTTTATTTATTTTTCTTTATTTTATTTTTCTCATTTTAAATAATACCCCAAAAGTAATTTCAGAAGAAACATAGTCTTTTAAATTAGTACTTTACAATGGATTATTTCCTAATTTCTGATTCTCTTTTGCTCTCCCACTTGTTATTTTTAGCATTCAATATTCTAATGTAGACTTTGATATAAAAGGAAATAATTCTTCTTTAGAAATTTTGTTTGCTGAATTGATGACAAATATAAAATGTATGTCCCTATTTTCACCTATTAATTTCATATGCCCCTTTGTTTTGGGGTATTACTCAATTTTTCTCTTTGTATAAAGATGTTTTGTAAAACATAATTATCTCAAAGTACTTAATGATGTGTATGGTGACCAATTTTAACCTAGCGTATCCATCTTCTGGGGGAAAGCTCTAATTTCTCTCAATTGCTTCTACCTCACATGTTTTTTTAAACAATTATTACTGGAAGTTTTTATTAAATAAATTGTTTTCTAACATTAGATTGTACTGTGTTAATTATTAATACTGAATAATAATTAAGTTCAGCATTGTCCAGCACTATTTTCCGGTACTGACAAGTGAAATAATGCTCTAATGATGAAACCAAGGAGTATTGACATTACGTAACAGGAAGGATCCTAAGATAATGTCAGTTCCTGGGAGTGAGACGAGTAAGAAGTTTTTTTGGTTTAGTCAGTAGTTGCTTCTTTACAGGTTTGTCTGGCCTATAAAGTAAAGGCCTGTGGAAGAAGAACCCGAGGAAGAGTTCTACATTTTCTGTCATTCGTGAGTCTGTCTTGGTTACAAGATTCTAGCCACTTAATTATTATTTTTTTTAATATATGTTTATTGATTTCGGAGAGGAAGATAGAAACATCAATGATCAATCCTCACTGGGGATCGAGCTGACAACCTGGGCATGTGTCATTCTAATTTCTGATTCTATGAATTTGACTACTCTAACTACTTTATATAAGTGGAACCATATAATATTTGTCATTTCACATGTGGCTTATTTCACTTAGAATAATGTACTCTTGGCTCATTAGCATGCTGCGGGATTTCCTTCCTTTCAAAGGCTGAATAATACTCCTTTGCATACATATACCACAGTTTTCTTATCCATTTATCCATGAACACACACCTCTTGGCTGTTGCATTTGGGGCATTTTAACCATAAAGGCTTCCTTAGACATACTTTCAGATTTATAGCTAATTCCCGTTTTTGTTTTGTTGTTGTTTTACATTTTTACCTCCTCTTGATTAAAAGTAATAAAATAGTTCAAGACAAATTGTGTTCCTTGCCAGAACAAACTCAAATATATAAGAAAGCTCAAATAATGGGAAATTCTGTTTCTTTCAGCTCGGTGAACTCTTGAAAGATTGGCGACGTCTTAATGTTGCTATAACCAGAGCCAAACATAAGCTGATTCTCCTGGGATGTGTGTCCTCACTAAACCGCTATCCGCCTCTGGGGAAGCTACTTTGTCATCTCAACTCAGAAAAATTAATATCCTTTTCGTTTCCTACATGATCACATTTGATTGTGCTATTCTGAGTACTTTACTATGTACTTGTGTAAATTAAAACTCAATGTCTTGTGTTTTCCATGTGCATATTTCAAAGGTCTGATTCTACAAAGGGGAGAGAGAAAACAATTCACAGGAAGTAATTTTAAGCAAAAAGTGAAATAATGAAGAAGATGGAGAAGGATAGTTTGTGAAGTGAGAAAGGGGAAGAAAAGGGACTTGATCTGTTGCCTCATGAACAGGGTGAATGATTCCTAGACACATCTAGGAAAACTGGATATCTCTTCTGGGTCCTCTCACCCCAATTTATAAACTTTTTAAAAAAATCTAGGACAAAGCATTATATTAAAAAATGGAGCCCTGGCTGGTGTGGCTCAGTTGGTTGGAACATCCATCCACCTGTACACCAAAAGGTGGTGGGGCCCTAACCGGTTTGGCTCAGTGGATAGAGCATTGGCCTGTGGACTCAAGGGTCCCAGGTTCAATTCCGGTCAAGGGCATATACCTTCGTTGCGGGCACATCCCCAGTGGGGAGTGTGCAGGAGGCAATTGATCAATGTTTCTCTCTCATCGATGTTTCTAACTTTCTATCCTTCTCCCTTCCTCTCTGTAAAAAAATCAATAAACTATATTTAAAAAAAAAAAAGGTGGTGGGTTCGATCCCTGGTCAGGGCACATACCTGGGTTGGGGGTTCGGTTCCTGGTCAGGGCAATTTGGGAGGCAACTGATCGGTTTCTCACATTGATATTTCTTTCTTCCTCTCTCTCTCTCTCTCTCTCTCTCTCTCTCTCTCTCTCTTTCTCTTCTTCTCTCTCTTTCTCTCTCCCCCTTCTCTCTAAATCCATAAGAAGCATATCCTTGGGTGAGGGGGAAAAAAAGGAGAAGTATTTCTTGTCATATTTTAGTTTATTTTAAAAAACAAATCTTTTTTTAAATCCTCACCCGAGGATATGTTTTTATTGATTTTAGAGAGAGGAATGGGCAGGGGAGGAGAAAGAAACATAATAGATGTGAGAGAGAAACATGGACTGGTTGCCTCCTGCAGGTGAATGGACTGGGGGCCAGGCATTGAACCTGCAAGAGGTACGAGCCCTTAACCAGGAATCGAACCCACACCCTTCGGGCTGAGGACCAGTGCTCTAACTACCGAGCAATTTTGTTGTATGGGAGAATGCTCCAACCAACTGAGCCACCCAGCCAGGGCAAAAATAGATTATCTTTTATTTATTTATTTATTTATTTCAGAGAGAAGCAGGGAGAGGGAGAGAGAGATGGAAACATCGATGGCTGCCTCCTGCACGCCCCCTATTGGGGACTGAGCCCACAATCTGGGCATTCTGCCCTGACCGGGAATGGAACTGTGACCTCCTGGTTCATGAATTGAATGACACTCAACCATTGCTGCCTTCTGCACACCCCCCACTGGGGATGTGCCCGCAACCAAGGTACATGCCCTTTACCAGAATCGAACCTGGGACCTTTCAGTCCGCAGGCCGATGCTCTATCCACTGAGCCAAACCGGTTAGGGCAAAAATAGATTATCTTTTTAAAAAAATTATATGAATATGCTCTGGCCAGGTTTCTCAGTGGTTAGAGCATTGGCCCGTGGACTGAAAGGTTGAAGGTTTGATCCCTGCCTCTGGTTGTGGTGCGGAAGCAACCAATTGATGTGTCTCTCTCACATCCTTGTTTCTCTCTCCCCCCCTCACCCTTCCACTCTGTCTGAAAATCAATGGAAAAAATATCCTCTCAGGATTTACCATAAAAATACATATATATGAATATGTTAGGCTGAGATCATAAACCATATTGCTTAAGTACATTGATATCCATAGAATGCCATAAAAATCTTTAGAATTATTTTAGCAGTCCTGTAAACTAAATTATAAAATATTAAATGTCATAAGTCTTTTAATGTAATTATATAGTGTGTTAAATATATCTTCCTTAATTTATTTTACATCACTGATCTTCCATCAGGAGAACATGAAAGTCTTTGTTATATATTGGGTGATTTTCAGAAATGATGAAGCACTGTTTTCCTTGCATTTTTCATACGAGCATAGTGATCTCTAGCAATTGCCTATTGTTAGTAATTTGGGCATGTTGTAACATCAGTGCCTGGTTAGGTGGTGGAGATAACTTTTATCCCGAGGTATGAAATGATGTAAATGTACTTTGTTCAAAGTGCCAGGGTTCTTTGTTTTGTTTTTGTATAATGTTGTTAAACATAACGTTGTATTACCACATTTAGCACTATTTATTTTTTCAGTATAGGTGTACTCAAAACTGTGAAAAGTCTAAATTTATAGTACTATGTATGTATTTTTGTGTGACCTACAAAGAATCTGCTGCCTGAGCCATTTGGCTCAGTGGATAGAACAGCAGCCTGTGGACTGAAGGGTCCTGGGTTTGGTCAAGGGCACATGCCCAGGTTGTGGGCTCAATCCTCAGTAGGGGGCGTGCAGGAGGCAAGCCGATCAATGATTCTCTCTCATCATTGATGTTTCTATCTCTCCCTTCCTCTCTGAAATCAATAAAAAAAATTAAAAAAAAAGAAAAGAAGAATGTTTACCTGCTTTAGAAATGGATTCTTTTGGGATCTGACACCTAAAATTTCAGGATTAATTTGATTTTGTAGATTTTTATCGTATTTTGTTTATTTGAAATAGAGATAAAGAAAATTGATTTCTTTTTCACTTAAGCACAATCTTGTGATGACAACATAGGTGTACATTTTATATATATATTTATAATTTTCTTTTTTTTAAACTTTGTTTTTATTGATTTTTAGAGAGAGAGGAAGGGAGAGGGATAGGAAGAAACATTGATGAGAGAGAGAAACATCATTGACTGGCTGCCTCCTACACATCCCTTACTGGGGATGGAGCCTGCAACCCGTGCCCTGACCACCCAGGAACCTCTTGATTCCTGGGTCGACTCTCAACCCCTGAGCCACACAGGCCAGGCTGTTTTTTCAGTATTTTGAGGTCCCTGATCGAAAGGCCATTTTGCAGTATTTTCCCCCCTGACTTTTGCTTTCTGGTGTCAGACATGTTTTTGTTGTTGTTGTTAATATATTTGTATTGATTGCAGAGAGGAAGGGAGAGGGAGAGAGATAGAAACATCAGTGATGAGAGAGAATCATTGATCGGCTGCCTCTTTCACGCCCCCTACTGGGGATCGAGCCTGCAACCTGGGCATGTGCCCTTGACTGGAATCAAACGCGGGACCCTTCAGTCCACAGGCCAGTGGTCTATCCACTGAGCCAAACCAGCTAGCGTTCAGACATGTTTTCATTTGAAACCTAGTCTTTTATTTTTTATTATTATTTTTAATAAATTTACTGGAATATTATATTCCCTATGTACTTTACAGGGTTACAAAACATCTTAATTTCTTTATTTATTTTTCTTTATTTTATTTTTCTCATTTTAAATAATACCCCAAAAGTAATTTCAGAAGAAACATAGTCTTTTAAATTAGTACTTTACAATGGATTATTTCCTAATTTCTGATTCTCTTTTGCTCTCCCACTTGTTATTTTTAGCATTCAATATTCTAATGTAGACTTTGATATAAAAGGAAATAATTCTTCTTTAGAAATTTTGTTTGCTGAATTGATGACAAATATAAAATGTATGTCCCTATTTTCACCTATTAATTTCATATGCCCCTTTGTTTTGGGGTATTACTCAATTTTTCTCTTTGTATAAAGATGTTTTGTAAAACATAATTATCTCAAAGTACTTAATGATTATGGTGGTGACCAATTTTAACCTAGCGTATCCATCTTCTGGGGGAAAGCTCTAATTTCTCTCAATTGCTTCTACCTCACATGTTTTAAACAATTTCTGGGGGAAAGCTCTAATTTCTCTCAATTGCTTCTACCTCACATGTTTTTTTAAACAATTATTACTGGAAGTTTTTATTAAATAAATTGTTTTCTAACATTAGATTGTACTGTGTTAATTATTAATACTGAATAATAATTAAGTTCAGCATTGTCCAGCACTATTTTCCGGTACTGACAAGTGAAATAATGCTCTAATGATGAAACCAAGGAGTATTGACATTACGTAACAGGAAGGATCCTAAGATAATGTCAGTTCCTGGGAGTGAGACGAGTAAGAAGTTTTTTTGGTTTAGTCAGTAGTTGCTTCTTTACAGGTTTGTCTGGCCTATAAAGTAAAGGCCTGTGGAAGAAGAACCCGAGGAAGAGTTCTACATTTTCTGTCATTCGTGAGTCTGTCTTGGTTACAAGATTCTAGCCACTTAATTATTATTTTTTTTAATATATGTTTATTGATTTCGGAGAGGAAGATAGAAACATCAATGATCAATCCTCACTGGGGATCGAGCTGACAACCTGGGCATGTGCCCCGACCAGGAATCGAACTATGACCTCCTGGTTCATAGGTCAATTCTCAACCACTGAGCCATGCTGGCCGGGCTAGCCACTTAATTATTTGAAAGAGTTAGGATTCATCATCTATGCATAAGGCGCTATGAGTTGGAGGCTTGGGATAAGCTAGAAGTTAAACCCAAACTGGACAATCAAAAGAGCTAATAGTGCAGTGTTGATACTCATGCCAAGGACTAAGACAGCAATCCAATCGCTGATGTCACTGGGCCCTCAGCTTTGTTGAGTTCCGGATCCAAAGCACCATTAGCCTAATAAACAAGATCTTGCTTACAGTATAAAGCCAAGATTTGATGACAATGTAGCTATTCCAGTGACCTCATTCCTGAGTCAGTTCAGAGCTCCTGCCTCCTGACAGCTCCCTCTTGCTGTCTTTGAGTCCTTTCTTTTCCTTTTTAAAGATTTTTATTTATTATTTAGAGGGAGGAAAGAAGAGGGAAAGAAATATCTATCAGCTGCCTCCCACACGCCCCCTAGTGGGGATCGAACCTGCAACCTGACCGGAATTGAATGGCAGCCCTTAGGTGCACTGATGATGCCCAACTTTTCTTTTCCTCCTCATCTCTCCCTCTCAAAAGGCAGGTCTTCCCCAGAGCTCTGTGTTTGGTCTGGTCCTCTTTCTCTCCTTGAACAGCCATGGCTTCAGCCACACCCATGTGTCTGTTTACCAAATCTATACCCACCCTACCTGCCTTATAAGTTTTGGTTATAGCTGTTTTCTAGTTCATGCTTTCAGAATCTTCTAGGAGCATTTCAGAGACAGTACACATGAAATAAATATTCCCATCTTCATCTAATGCAGTCATTTTCAACAGGTGTGCCGTGGCGGGCACACTGGTATGTTGCAAAAATTTTTAAATGCGATACCTGACTAGTCTCTTTTTCTGACCTCTTTTTCTTTATATTGTCAAAAAAAATGACAACAGCCAATGGAACAATAACCATCGGGTGTGAATGAGTCAAAATTATATTTTTTTGTCAAATCTGCAAAAAAAAAATATTTTTTGGTGTGCCACAGACTATTGGTAGTGTTTGTGGGTCATGAGATGAAAAAGATTGAAAATTGCTGTTTTAATACCTTCTTACTGTGATCCCTATTTGGGTTAACAACACCATCTACTTAAGTTACCTGACTGTGAAGTCTGTAGCCTGGCCGGCATGGCTCAGTGGTTGAGTGTTTGACCTATGAACCAGGAGGTCACGGTTTGATTCCCAGTCAGGGCACATGCCCAGTGTGGGGTGTACAGAAGGAGTCAATCAATGATTCTCATCAGTGATATTTCTATCTCTCCCTCTCCCTTCATCTCTGAAATAAATTTTTAAAAAATTTTAAAGAAAAAGGTCTTTGTGTACTTTTTAAAAATATTTTCTTTCTAGCCCTAGCCAGTTTGGCTCAGTGGATAGAGTCACGGCCTGTGGACCAAAGGGTCCTGGGTTTGATTCTGGTCAAGGGCACCTACCTCGGTTGCAGGCTCCTCCCGGCCCGGGCCCTGGTCGGGACTTATGCAGGAGGCAACCAATCGGTGTGTTTCTCTCACATCTATATTTCTGTCTTATCCTCTTTCTTCCAATCTCTCAAAATCAATGGAAAAATATCCTGAGGTGAGGATTAAAAAGTGATTATAATAAAAATATTTTATTTCCTTCTAATTTCAGAGCAGTACATGATTTTAGTGAGAATGTCAAAAACTGCAGCTTTTAGAAAATTAAATTTCATTGTAATCTCATCCTTTATAACTACTGGTAGTTTGGTGTATGATGATCTAGCCTGATATTTAAAAAACAAAAATTACCACCACCCACAAGAAATACATTTAATATCATAACTGCATAGATATGTGTATGTGTGTGCATCTGAAACAATACTTTTCACAAAATATTTACCCTTTTATATGTGATACACTCTAATATTTCCCACTCTGTTCCATTACAAACAGCTAGTTGTGAGCTATTAAAATTGCTTTCCTGTCCCACTAGGAACTTGGAGCCCAGGTTTGTAACAGAAGTCATTCTCTAATCCTTCTTCATATATTTGTTGTAACTAGACTGAACTATTTTTGCTGTTCCCTGTACGTCTTTTCCTTTCCCCATTCGATTCCTCTATCTAGATTTGTCTTTTCCTCCGTTATCATTTATGTAACTACCCAGTCTGAAAGACTTTAATGTCACCTTCTCCAAAAAGCCTTGTCTGATTTTTCCCCCTGACAAAATAATTACTTTCATCTTTATACTATAATAATGTTTTACGTAGCTTTATACTATTTACTGCTTTTTAAAGCAGCAGTAGGCATATGTAGCAAGCTTTAAAATTTGCCTATAATTTTCATAGATATTCTCTCAATTGGATTAAACCCTACAGAGTACCTAGCACAGATAGTCTATATTAGCACATGGCCCTGAGTAAGTCATTGCTAGAATCCAGGTGTTTTGATTAGTAATTCGGCAATTTTCCCAGTTACTGTGTGTTCCCCATTAGGTGTTGCACACATTTTCCAGGTGCTATACTAATATTCAGAAGCATTACAATTGTCATTGTAAGCGAATCACATCTTGGGCCAGCTGGTCCTACCACTGGGAGCCTTATGGCAGGATACAACAAGCTGGTCTACCTGGGTTCAGTGGACAGCTTTGCTGATCAAAAAGACTGCTTGTAGCCCTGGCCAGTGTGGCTCAGTTGTGAGCATCATCCCATGCACTGAAAGGTTGCCCGTTTGATTCCCCGTCAGGGCACATGCTCAGGTTTAGGTTTGGTTCCCGTTCGGGATGCATATGGGAGGCAACTAATAGATGTTTCTCTCTTTCCCTTCCTTTCTCTCTCAAATTAATAAAAACATATTTTTAAAAAAGACTGCTTGCCCAGCTGGTATGGTTCAGTGGTTGAGCATCGACATATGAACCAGGAGGTCATGGTTCAATTCCCGGTCAGGGCACATGCCTGGGTTTCAGGCTTGATCTCCGGCAGGGGTCCCGCAGGAAGCGGCTGATGATGGTTTGCTTTCACAT